TTGGATTGTTCTTTCTTAGTAAGATCCCTTTTTCATTACAGTTGTGGTCTTACCTTGACTTGAAGATGAAGTCCATGCTATCCTTCTGGACAACAATCTCCATTACATTTTTGTAAAAGTCCTCCTTATCTCCCTCTAGTTTCAAAAGTCTAGCTTGTTGTTCGCGTCTACCGTCTCTGTGTAGAATAACAGTAGCAACAAGAACCTGTGGGCTCACGTGCGCCCCCTTCAGTGCGGCAGAGGTTATGGCTGCCTCCCCTGGTGCTTTTTTCATTGCCGTTGTATGATGAGACCAGCGAGCCTAAATATCATATCATACGTGAAATAAGTTATTTAGAGACTATGGATGGCGAAGATAAATGTAATAAAGGGATCTACAAACATTACATTGGTGACATACAGTGAGATGGTGCAGGCATGCGCTTAGGGCCCGCTTTCCAGACAGTTTCTGTGGGGTGACGCATTCTGAGGTGAGGCAGATCTCATCTGTGCCTCCCCTCACCCCACAGTAACTGGCTTGAGCGCGCTCACAAAATAAGTGCCCGCGTTAAATTAGTGACCGCGCTCCAGCCAGTTACTGTGGGCTTACGGGAGGCAGAGCTCGTCCCTGCCTCACTCCTCATCGCTCCCATGTAGGAGTTGTAGCGGAGCTCGGCCAATTTGCTGATTTTGACTATAAAAAGCGATTGGAATCAAACAGAAATCACACTTACAACACAGATCAGTGGAGACATTTTATTATTATTACTATTTAGTTTTTCTTTAGTTGTTTTTCCGTTACATTGTAGTATGACAGGTGAGGCTCTGCCTCCCCTGACTGCACGTAGCTGATGTCTATATATAAGCTTCTGCAGTGAGGTTCATGGCTGGTGAGGCACTGGCTCTGACTCTTCAGGTTTACAAATATATTTTGACCTAAATCAAAATATAATATTATTTTCAAAAGCTTTTTTAGTCTGATGATTCGATTCAATCAATCAATCAATCAATCAATGTTTATTTATATAGCCCAATATCACAAATGTTACATTTGTCTCAGTGGACTTTACAGTTTGTACAAAATATCAGTATGATTCATTTTAAACAGACAGTTCAACAAAAGGATACCCAAAAAATGTAATTTTATCATTTACATATTGAATTGTTCTCTTAGTAAGATCCCATTTTCAATAAATTCCAGGGCCGGTTCGGAGCTGGAGCCTGAAAAGCACCGTTTTTCCTGTTCACACCGCAGCGGAGCCGCCTCTAAGCTCCGGAATCCGGTTCGCTTCAAGCACCAAAACATTGTCGGTCTATAAGCAAGACCCGCATACGTCACGCTTACGTCGGACGGGGGCGAGATTAACCTGAGCTAACAGTTAAAGGCGAGTGCGGCAAATAAAAGTTGTAACAAGCAGTAGTGCTGAGCAAAGTGACTAGAACGCAACCACACACTTATAAAAAACACACTTTATAAAGTCAGGCAACACTAACCAGGCTTCGTGTGATTCTGTTTATTTGTACCTTACTTTGACCATCCGTTCACTGTTATTGATCATTGTGGAGAGCAGGCAGACGTGTTGTTTTGTATTATAGCAGCTATCGGATGGAATCAATACATGGGCTGCACAGGTTGTCGTGTCCGACTATCACAAGTAGAATCATAATAAAAATACACCGGTAAAATGTGCCTGTAGGAAACGGTTTATGCCACAATAGGATAGCAATAGCAAGTAGTCAGTTTAGCTTCGGTTGCTATGCTAACATCACCCATTTTATACCAGAGAAACTTTCATAACAGCGTTGTGATACCAAACAGCGTCAATTCAGACTGAAACACATTCACTTAGGCTAAGGGGAACTGGGGATATGTATCAGCTGCTTGTGTGAGTCGGACAGTGAATACTTTAGAGCGGCCGCTGCAGTGTGAGCTAACTGGGAGCTAACGGAGGAGAATAAACTCCCGTGGAAGAGCAGCCAACACTGCAGCGGTCGGTAAATGCTGCAGAAACACATTAATAAACAATGAACCACGGCACTCTGGAGAAAAGTATAAGGTTGGAGAAGTCGTTATTTAATTTAATCTGGCTTTGTATGTAACACGATCATCGACCCGACGCAGTTCCCCATTGTTTGTTTGTTTGTAGCCTTTATTTAACCAGGTAAATCAACGATCTCTTTTTCAAGGGAGACCTGCAGCACATTGGTTACACATAAAAACAACAGAAAACAAAAAGGACATCATACAACATAATTACAGGGGTACAAATTACAACCTATTCACAATGACAGGTATCAAATAACATTTCATCTATCCGAGCTTTAAAATGATGCAAGGGAACCAAAATGCTCAGTTTCAAAAATGTTTGCAGAGTGTTCCAAGTTAGAGGAGCTGCGCACATAAAAGCTTTAGTACCTAAAACAGTCCTAGCACTTGGCACATGTAATAAAAACACATCCTGGGATCTCAGGCAATAGCTACTTGTGACTCTCTGTGAGATCAAAGAGCAGATATAAGTTGGTAGTTTACCCAACATGGCTTTATAGATGAACATGTACCAATGACTGAGCCTCCGTACAGTTAGTGAAGGCAGACCTGCCTTGGCATACAGGGTACAGTGATGAGTAAGTGCTTTACAGTTAGTAACAAATCTCAGAGCACTGTGATAGGCAGCATCTAACTTGATCAGGCAATGGGCAGGTGCATTCATATAGATCAGATCACCATAGTCCAGCACAGGTCAAAAGGTCACAGAGACTAGCTTGTTGTTGTTGTTGTTGTGAGCGCCGTTGGGGAGAAAATCAGCTACGTAAACGGTGACGTCATGACGCAGCAGCGGCTGCACCAGTCGGGCTCTGGGCGGTGTGAACAAAACGGGGGCTGAAAAGAAAAACTGGTTCCGAACCAGAAAAGCTCTAGCACGGAGCTAGAACGGGAATGACGTTGGTGTGAAAGCCCTAATTGATGCACAAATCAGTATTGCTGATTTAATCTGCTTTCCTTCAAGTTTTATTCGTGCTAAAACAACTTTTCATCACACAAAACACTGAATCATTGATCAAACCTGTCTTTGTTCTCAAGGGATCAGCCGGCTGCACAGATGGGAGCGAGCAGAGCTTCATGGTCTGGACCCTCCTGAGGAGATCAGAGAGCTGCTGCAGACACACACAGACCCCGAGTACAGCCTAAGGTAACACACAGTGTATTTGAAAACACAATGCTTTCTTTGTATTTACTCCTATACTCACCATGTTAACATCCACAAAAAAGCAGGCTACTGGTCTCTTTTCCATAATAATTCAACTGATTAGGAAAACCAGATTTTCTATCTTCCAGCCATCTAATAAATCACATTGTGGGATGGCTAGGGTTGTCATGATAACAACATAATTGAATCTGGTTTTTGAGGCTCTCCCTAAAATGCCGCTCTGATGTGATTTGGATAGTGCAACTTGTTCTACATGATTTATTAACGCACACTGATGAATTTGGTTTAAAGCCCATGTGTTCTTTTTGTAATGTATATGAATTACCCTATTCATGAGCTAAGATACATGGCTGACATGGTGCATACACTCAAGTTGCAACACAGGCTGTCAGTAATATTACTTGTTATGATGTGTTTATCATACTATGATACTTTTACTAAGGTTGAGTATTTGCACTCTGTATCCATCTGTATTTGATTAATATTGTTCTTCATTATTCATAACTCGTAATTATGACTAATTTGAGTCTGCATTTGAACTAGGCAAGTTTCAGGCATGTTCATATTAATAGGAACTGTGTTCATTCGTTAGTAATGATTGTTTTTTATCTTTCAGCTTATGGAGGGACTATCCTTTGTGAGGAAGACATCGTCAGAACGAGAAAATAATTCCGATTAAAACAAAAGCCAAGTTAATATCAACCCAAATTGTAAAAATGTGTCTCAGAGGGATTTACCTTTCGCCCTAAGCCCCTAGAAACCTACATAGAAGAAAACAAATTAAAAGGAGGACATTTAAAGGGAGTAACCAGAGGAAGAGGAGCGGAGGAAAGGTCCATCTTACAGGATGGACACAGAAGATGACACAGCCTCCAGTTTGGGTTTTTTCTTGCATTTGTTCTTCGTAGTTTTCTACTTTTATTGAAAAAAAAGTCTACCAAACTACTGATTTCTTCTTTGTTGTGTTTTAAGATGGAAGGAAATACACTGTGGAAATAAGCTGGTGAAGTGAAAGTTACACATTCACACAGTTTGCCTCAGTAACTGTCCCAGCTAAACACTTTGTTCATGTGACAGTGTTCTACAGCGCTGCCAAGAGAAAAGGCCAAGTCTGTGCTAGCCTATGTTAATGGTCAGTGAGATAGTAAAGATGTGAATATGAGGATTAAATCAAATAAAAATAATGTTGATTATAAACACATGTCTATGGTTTCTGATATTGAGGTTTCTCTTCATAAACAGGGAAACAACCATTATTAATTATCATTGTACTATTGTGTGTTACAAAATGCAGTTATAGTTCTATTTTTCTGTGAAAGTAGTAGACTGTAATGATACATATACAGTTATTGTGGAAAATATAGATTGTGGATGGTATTAAAACGAACTTTGCAGGTACTGTTTTAGAAATACACGAGGATGAAAAGGAGGGCTACCTTTTTAAACCGTAAACCTCCTATCCCAATCCATCACTTTTTGATTGGACAGCAATGTCGTCAATCACCCAGAGCTCAAACCTGATTGGAGCCCGTATCCATCAGTTAACCGACAGCAGACGCACCGCCCGCTGATTGGCCGAGATCGCTGAGACTGAGGACAGGGGGGGGGCGTGGGCTGGATTTGAGAGGAATCTACAGCGTGATTCGTTAATGTATAACATCATTCTACATTGCGGCTCTCCCATTTGGTTTATTCGTACTTTATACGACGCGTAGCCTCTACAGTTAATCACGTTCATTACGCCGCAGAATAAAGTGTCAAGGTAGATAAAATTAGCCGCGATAACACTAGAAGTCTGTCGACTTTTACTTTTAACAAAATCCCCTAATTTGACGGCGAGGGAAGAAATACAGCTGTCAGTTTTCCTGTGGTCGGTGAATACTTCATTTCATTTCAAATCTTTATTTAACCAGATTGGTCCCATTGAGATCATAGATATCTTTTTCAAGGGAGACCTTACTTAAGGAATTCAAAAAAATACATTTACGGTCATGAAATGTGCATTTAAATCACATCATGGCATATGGCACAAATGTTTATTTTGAAGGTTTGGACCGGAAGTGGTTTTATGTGACTATTAGCTTGACTGGATTGGCTACTGTAACGCTAGCCTGTAGGAGTATTAGCAAGGATGCTCGGTCTCTGGTATTAGTGACCCATAGACAGAGAGTGCAGCCTGGACGAAGATTGATAATACAACGCTGTCTTCTGTCTTCCATAATTACACAATTATTCGCTTTATATAATACTTACTTAATTTTTTTAAACAACATTTTTACCACTCGGGAATCGTAGGCTGTTTATATGGAAATATGATTAGCTGTCACAGTATAACGGACGTAAAGCTAGACAGTTTGTGGTAAAAACGCATTTTACATTTAATTTTTTCCGTTGCTGTTGGGAATTTAGTTCAATGCGTATGGTGCTGAGATATATCGTGCCATTCTGAAAGTGCAGGGACGGTGGACAGACGTCACTCCGGTAAGCAACCTGTTCATCTCAGAGGATTAACGGCGGAGCAGCGCTAAAGTAGCTGCGTACGTTAGCTAGCTTCACCTGCAAACACCAGCTATCTGCTAGCGTGTGGCTCAGAGGCTTTAGGCTGTTATGGTTTTTCTCCTGTCATTTATAAAATGGCCTCACGGTATCAGCGTATAGCCTGCTTCTTATGCAGCAATATCAAACTGCTGGCACACTCAACATGTCTCTCCGTATCAACCGTTATGTCGTCCATAATACCTAGCATTAAGGCGAGGCTTCCCTTAATAACAGCTTAAAGTGTGTAACGTGACATTTACATTTCATGTTTAACGTCTAGCGGTAAGCACATTACTTAAGTGTTCTCATTATTACTGTTAACATATTAGCATCACGTTGGCTTCTGTCTATAATGCAGGGCGGTCGCTCAGGAATGAACAGCGTTACTCCGGAGGTATTATCTTAGACACAGGCCCACCTCTAACAACCTGTCTAAGGGCCTTTATCACTATTGAACATATGGTTTTATGATGAATTCGACATTGACAATCCATTATGAAGCTTGTACAGGTATATTACAAGTGTGCAAACACACAGCCAGGGTGGTAGGAAATAGGGAGGGACCATGGGAATAACAGGCACTTCTCACTGTTAATAATTACAGTGGGTAAAACTAGCATATTAGATTATTTTACATGGACCCTACTTGTTTACAAGGGCCTCGAGGATTGTTCCAGCTGCTACTTTGGATGTGTCAATAGGCAATATTGTATAACAAAAAAACCGAGAATACTATTAATTGTGTTTGGAGCTACGTTAAAAAGTCTGAGGCCATTTGGTATCCATTTACAGAAGCACATCCTACAAACAGACGCAGCTCCATGTCTCCTGGGCCTGTGTGTCTCTGCAGGCTCCAGTGTGTGTGTTGCCTGGCTAACAGAACATCTGATTCCCCAGCCAGCTGATGCTGTAACTGTGTGCTCTTTACACAATCAACAAGAGGGCTATTACAGTGTGGACATACACTGAAATATTGCATTTCTATTGAAAATCAGGTTACATGACTAAGACAAATAACTGACAGTCTGAGGAAAACATTGAATGTTCATAACATCCTAAACAGCAACACCTTAAAAAATGTCATCAAAAACATATCTGACAGCCTTTTTTGTCAGCCTTATTAAAGCCATATTACCTAACTATATTCTTTGTTATAAATAAGGATGTTTACATCAAAGTGTCTTTGAGCATTAGAAAAAGGGCTATACAAATCCAATGTATTATTATTATTATTATTATTATTACATATATGCTACAAACTTTTTCGATCAGTTTTATAATCGTCTCCACGTTAGTAAAAAAAGAGATTTGAAGACAGAATATGATACTTTATTTACATAGGATGTATTTAAGATTATTGCTTATTTCTATTACGCATGTGTTCTTTTTCCTCTCCTCAGTGATGGATAATGCCCATACTAAGACGGTGGAGGAGGT